TAATTATTACAGTCAGAGCAGTTCTTTTTCTGTTGAAAAGTACTGGATTATGATATAGTGGAGGCCAGATTAGATCATACTGATGCTTCCTTCTGGTCAAACTCACTGAAATTGGAAAAAAAAAAAAAAGAAAAAAATGACTTGGAGTTAAGCTTAAGTACAAAAAGAGGGATAACAGTAAGATGTACTGAATAAGATTTCAATATAGTATAATGGAACATTTAATATATTCAAATTTTCTATGAATCACAAAAACTTTAATTTTTCCTATATATATGTTGTATGGCTATATTACTGAAATGTAATAATTCTGTTATCAGGTTGAATTTAAGGTTTTTTTCCCACCATATCTGACTTTGTGCATTGTGGAATTCATACATATATTTGTATTTGCTAAAATGAAAATAGTTCATTAGTGAGGATCATGCTACAATTTGGAAATACAGTATGGTTTAGCTACCTTTCATCTCAGAGAATTCATGTTTTAAAGGATACAATTTTTAATGTTAAGTTCTATTGCTTTGGTCGTACTGTGGATAGAGCAGCTCTGTAGTAGTCAATTCCTCATTAATACTGAATTGAAGAAGAGTATTCAGCAACAAGTTTTAATGTTTGGAGTACTAGGCTTTTGTTGTGTGTCTTGTTACTGGTCTTAGGTTAGATGCACTTAGCAGGGGTTTTGGAGGTTTTTTGTTAGTTTAAGGGGTAAAGTATGTTCACTTGTGTGGCAAACGAGACATTGTCTTCAGGGATTTTTTAAGAGAACAAAGGACGTGAGGTATGATATCTCTAAAAGGCAAGTTTGAGATGCACAGGATCAGGACTTGAGAAATCAGGAGGAAAATGAGACCAAGGTGTTAAGTCACCACAAAATAGTGACAACAGCAGCAGAAGGTGGGTTTTTTCCTAAATGAAATGAGAAATTCTGGTTTATCTGTGATTTTTAGAAATCTATATTCTGTGATGATGGACAGTTTCTTGCTTTCTGTAACTGAGAGGAATATTTTTCATACACATCCAACTAGCTATTTTACCACTGATTGGAATTCCAGTCTGTTTGCTCTGTCTTCATACCAGCAGTTACAGTGGTTATAGGTGGGGTTGAATATTATGACATACAGAACTTGCAGAATACATGGATTTCAGTATCCTGGATGACCTGGCTAAGAGGACTGTGTGTGGTTGTCTACATAGCACACATGCACAAAAAAAAAAGTTATTCACTTATGCAAAGGAAGCATTTAAAGCTCAGTATAGAGCTGTGTACTGCTTATTTCTGTGCTTGGAATTTTAGATGTTACTTGCTTATTCAGAGTTAATTCTGCTACTCTTTGGACTCCGTGAAATGTCTACAGGGTGAACTATTTTTCATGTACGTGGGTATGTATGTATACATATACTTAGGTATATTAGGGAAAACTGTTCACATGCCTGTGTTTTGAATCTTTGATATGTGGCATTTTTATGTACTATTTGATTACTAGATTTAAGGGTTGATTTGTTGGTATCTTCAGAGTAAAGAATTGGAATAACGCCTCCAGCCTAAGATGGGGCAGTGATATAAAACTCTAATAGGCAAGCTATCCTGCATGTTATATTATGTGATATAAACTGTTCTAACAGCTTTCTGTGTATCCAGATAAAAACATTTCAGATCTCCCTTTGAGATACCTCATGTCTCAAGCGTGACAGCTTTTTTAAAAATTCTTTGGTCATCTGTTGATTTGTCTGTGTATTTTATCCTGTTGATTTAAAGTTTTCATAGAAGACATCTATGCTTACTTTTTACTTTGCATACGCTGCATCTGCAGCATAACCCTTTCTGGGCTTGTGGAGCTTAAGTACTGGTGTGTTTAATAGTTGTATATTGTGTATGAAGTCAGTTTAGTCGCTAAAATTTTATTGCAGTTGGTTTCAGACTTGGTTATCTCCATTTCAAGAATGTGATGCTCTACTCAGAAAAGTGGGATACATCTTAATAACCCTGCTTGCAGTGTAAGGTGGAACAGGGAGGATGTGGAGGTTATACTGCGTACACTTGGTTGAGCGTGGCTCGCACTGAAAACAGTTTTTACTGTTGTTGGATAGTACTGTAGTTTGTTCAGTAGTTAAAACATGCTTTACTAACAGACAAAAAAAAAATCTTATCAGCAACTTTTTCTGATAACTTTTTCTGACTCTTCTGAGCATGTAGTGAACGTGCATTTTCCTGTGAGACCATATGGTTTTGCATCAAGAACTTTGTGAGTGTATGGTCTAGGCATTGTTTGTAAATTACAGCAGAAGGTAAATTATTCAGATTACGGTGTGTTACTGTGGAGAACAGCACTGAAGCTAGTAGCTGAAATGCTTGAATTTAACTCTTGGTTATTTCCAAAAGTCTTCTAGTCACTTATGTTGCATAACATTTAAATGAGATTTAATACTTTGTATAAAACAGTTGCATAGGTGGGGATATCAAGATAAATAGTTGCATGGGTAAGAGATGCTGCCTACGAAAAAGGGTATTTAAAACATTACTAAAAAAATTGATATTTTTGTGTCATTGGTATGTTTGTTAATCTCAAAATCAATTCCACACAATAAATTTTTTTTTTTTAAATGGTGGTGTCATAGATCTTGAAATAACCACAAATGTCCTTAAATCAGAATGTAATTCAAAGGATCTTTACTTAAATTTTCATCAAATTATGCAGGATTGGAGACGCTCGCATGCTCTTAAGGAGAGTAATGCCTGAGCTTTATAAGTTAATCATATTAGTCCTCAAAGGACAAAATCATCTTGCCATCATAAATTATTGAAGGCTTTCTGGGGGTGGTATGGCACTATGTTTGGACTGATCAAATGGTCTGTTCTTATTAAAAGCCTTAGGACATCTGTTCCCATGGTTTTGTGTGTATCCTCAGGAATCAATTGAGTCTGAGTTTTCTAAATTAGACCCTGCACAATTGTCTTAAGCAACAGGGGCAGCTCAGAGGAAGTAGTAGAGTCAGGACCACTCTTTTCAGTGATAGCTGGTTGTTAAGGAAATGTAACTTGCAAAGTTAAACTCCACGTTCCATCATGCAGGATATGAGTGTCTGCATTAAAATGTTTTTCTTTAACTCCTAGTATTCTATTTCACCATTAATTTCACCCAGTAAAGGAAGAAGTTTTTGATTGAGGGTTCTTCTACAACAGAAAGGAGAAAACAGTATTTTATTCTTTTTTTTTTTTCCCCTTCATAGCTTTGAAACAAGAATCCTGTTCATGATCCTGGAATCTTATGCTTTTATAGACCTTCAAGTTACTCTTCTGAACTAAACTTAATGCTCTTACTTTTTTAATTTTTTTCTTAAATATTGAAAATAAATGCATTCTCTATTTATATTTCATGTGTTGTTGGGGGGGAGGGGAAAAACACTAAACACACCACCCCTCAAAAAAAAACCCCACACCGAAAACCCTAAACCAACAAAAAACCAAACTGAAATAACTCACCTTTGACTTCCACTGCTTTAGCACCACTTAGTTCAGTGCCAGTACTGCTCAAATCTGTGCCTGCTGCTTGCTGCAGCTGAAGAAGTAATGTAATTGTTGAAAATACAGAGAGAAGTAAGTTGAGGCATAGACAGAGTGTAAAGATGCCCAGGTCTTTTGTCTACTTTTGTGCAGAATTCCCATCATCTGAGTAAGGTGCTTAAGCCAGTGCTGTCCCTGAAAGTAATACTTATTAAACTGCACCTTGCGTCAACAGATATCCCTAAGTGTTGCTATCAAAATAAAATACTCCTTTGTTAGAGGAAGGTGTTGAGGCCATCAAATGCTGATTTAGCATATCAGCAAGATGACATTCCATGTATGCAATGAGGAGGAACTTCAGCTGTTTCAGTGATTTGACTTAAAACATTGACTACAACCCTGTACTGGTTGAGTGGAGTTTATCTTTATATATAATTTAAAGATAACATAATTTCTCATAATAGTGTTTTGAGTATGTACTTTAATGTACTTTGGATATATTTTTATTTATAGACATCCTGTTTTTTCTTGATGTTTGAATGGTTTTCATGAACAACATTTTTGATTTCCCCATTTACAAAAAAAAATGGATGTTCCTCTATCATATATAGTATTTAGATAGTTTTAGATAGTGTGGGTGGAAGGGGTAGAAAAGGGGCTTTAGACCATTTTTTGAATGGATCACATGGTACTGTCCCATGTCACTTAATATTAATGAGCTATTATGGTTGCCCCAGTGGTAATGGGTATTAGTTAAAATAAACTATCCTCTTTGCTCATTTGTATCTTGCATGAATTAGAAATTTTTTTAATTATCATCACACTTGTAAATAAAATTAATTTTTCATTTATTTATTTAATTATTTCAGAAAAAAACATAGCAGCAGCTTCTTATGTTCTGGTAACTGCATCAGTAGAGCATACACTTCAACTGTCTTACAGCCATGTTCGTAGCAGAAGAGAAAGAAGCATTTGTCTTCCTTCTATAGATAACTAGCTCTTTTATTCTTCACTGTTTCCCATTTGCAAAGAACTTCTAAAAATTGTTTTTCTACTAATTTTGCTATTTTGAAACATAAAGAGACCCTGAAAAGGACTTGAAGGTTTTTTGAGTTTTTTTGGGTTTGCTCTAGCATGTATAAAGTTAGTTCATAAAACTGTACAAATCACTACTAACAGTAGTGCAAGAATGCTTGAATCTGCAAAGGAATTTTGTGTTATTTGTCACTCAAAGGAGAACTTGAAGGCAGTGGGGGTAAGGAGAAGAAAACTGTTTTGTTCCTTCTTCTGTGACTTAGGTTCTGTTGATGCTTGTATTGTTTTCTCTTAAATAGCTTGTCTTGCGGCTTCTCGGAATTTCAGTCTCAAGTGTAAACAAGGAATAAATTGTGTCCATCACAGGATAAAATAAAAGCCCTAATTCCAACTCTTCCCACCACTCTTAAACATCTTAAAATAGCAGAATAGGGCACAAGCCCAATCTTTTTTTGCTTTTCAGGTCTCCTTTAAGAGCAGAGACAACCACGATCCAGCAGTTTTGGAGGTAGAGGCAAGTAAATGTTCTACTTGTAAATATTGTAGCAAGTTTTTGCAAATCACCTATTATCTGAGGAGGCTCAGGTTGAACAAGAATCTTAACACAAAACTTAACACTCCCCCTTTCACTAAATGGTGAATTTGCTTTATGTGCTTCTTGACAGGCTTCATATCAGTACACACTGTTACAATACCTAATTGGTGTGAAAATATACAAAATCAATATTAGTAAGTTTTTTTGTGATAAAGTTTTTTCTTTTGAACCTGTCTTCAAAATATAAATTGTTAGGTGGTTCATCATAGTGATTTTTTTTTTATTGGCTAATAATTGCCACACCCAACTACTGGTATTCTAATCAGCTCTTCAGCGTTCTCACTATGGGCAAGTCAACATTTTATGCACTGGATCTAAATCTATAACTATTTCTGTGCTAGGGATATTTGAGAGCTCATGTTGAGCTTCTCCTGAAGGTATCATTTGTGTTCTTAAATTAGTATTTTTACTCTCTTCTGAAGGCTGTATTGGTGGTATAGGAAGGAACTGTCTGTATTGCTGAAGTTTTAAAAATCAGTCAGCCTCTGAATGCTGCTGCTCCTCAGGAAATTTAACTCCTTTAGGTACCTCAGGGTTGCACTTAGGACAATTTTAGCAAACACTTGCTGTTCAGTACAACTCACACAGTCTTGTCTAGGCATATTTTGTCTCTTCCTTCTGACAATTACTGGTGATTTAGATGACTAAGTCAGCTGAAACCTAAACCTGGAAACTTCCTGTTGCTTTTGAGAAACTTGAACTGGATTACAAGTACTTTAGGGCTTCAAGATGAGACTAGCAGCACTGACTTGGAACAGCTTAAACTCTTGTGTGCCTACAGGCTTTAGGCAAAAGTTCAGTAACTGTTCTTGAATTAGCTGAGTGGGATGACCTTGGCTTTTTGGTATGCTACAGAGATAATGCTTCTTGCATCTTCTGATGCTAAACGCAGGGTCCCCCAACTTGTTTTTTAGGCACAAAATATGGAACATAGAGCCTTGATGTACTGTTCTTTCCACCACTAATGAGCTTTTTCCTGTGGTTAGTTTTCTTACATAAAGATGCAGGCATGTGAAACAGACCAGAATTTTTTGACCATGAGTTATCATTCCAGGAGTAGAATGGTGCTGACTGAGAACTGGGAAGCAAAGTCGTGAAACTGTCCACGTAAGCTTTAGTTACTTGAAATATCAGTGCTGGGTTTTTTTGGGAAGGATTGGGACTTTTCAGTGGTTTTGACATCTTTTTTTTTCTGTTTGAAAGTGGTGAAGTTTGTGACACATCTGAATGAATTCTTAAGTCATAATACAGTGCAAAGACTAAAATGTAGTAGCAAATACTTAGATGTCTTAGTTTTGCTGGCAGCATACCGTTGTAACATGGAGAATATTAATGGCAAGTAGTGTCAAGTAACAGTGATGCAATTAATTCTTACTGCATTACTTTTAATGCCCTGTGAAGGACCTCCTTCAAAGCTATTTAGTTAGGAAACTAGTTGTTTTGGTTTACCTTCCTCTTCCTTATTAATAAAAGGAGACAATTTACATAATTTTAGAACATTACAGGGTTACATGTATTTGGGGTGGTTTTACTGAGTTTCCTTTTTGGGAGATGGGGGGAAATGTGTTATTCCATGTTAGAGAGTTACAATGGGAACAGGAAAAGTTAGATTTTGGTCAGCTATTGTGACAGTATATTTCAATGGGATAAAAAAAAATAATAAATCACTAGTTAACAAGCTGTATTAACCTAAATTAATGTGTGCCAATTTGAGAAGGGAGAGGAGGGGACAAAGAAAGTGACCAGGTCAGGAAGTGGGAGACTGGCATCTGTCAGCTGGCAGTAGATGGTTGTTATCTGTTGGAAATGCATTTTGAACAAAGGGCTTATGCTTGTGCTCTCCTGAAGAGTAGGCAACATTTAGAGTGAAGGAAGCCAACTTTCTTCTAGTTATCTCTCTAAGATGTGAGCAGACCATGTAATTATTTTTCTCCTCAATTCATGCACAATACTGTCTTATTTTCTAAGATGGATGAAAACATTGTAAGGTATAGGAAAGGCACGCACATAATGACCTTTTCTTCCCAGCCTTAGCGTCTTACAGTGATTTCTGTTATTTGGAAGTATATTAATTCAAGCTGTAAAACTGTAGTTTGATTTTTGTGTGGCCAGATAAGTTATGAAATCTATAAACTGTGTATAATGGACATTTCAACAAAACAAGTTCGGAACGCGTCGTGTGAAGAGTAGAAGCAGATAATTTTATAAATTACTTTTTACATTCTTCTGATAATGTACTGGAATCTGTTTAAAAATTACTTCAGATGTCTCCAGTCTTCATTAACCCATCAAGGATTTACTTTGATCCTGGGGCTTCATGCTGCAATGACACTGTTTTTTTTCTTTTTAATCTGTCCATTATTTATATATCATATTTGTCTCCTCATTAGTATGTTTAGCTGAGGGAAATGGTTAGATCTATCCACACTTCTTTTTGGGGAACTGTGTTGAAATAGCAGAACTCGAAATTTTGCATAATTAACTCTTAAGTCTTAAATTTTTTTATGTTACGGTGGCTTGCATTGGAGCTGTGATTGAGAATTGTACTTCTTGTTCACTTTATGAACTCAGGTTCACTCGAAAGTTGCACATGAAAATGTCAGCAGAAGCATTATTTAATGAGGTTTTAAAAAAAACCCATACATTGCTTTGGTGAACATTTTTGTACATTTTAGCAAAATCTTTGAGATTCCAAAAGTTCATATAAAACCAAATTCATTTGTCTTTTTGGAAGGATGATGATGTGTACTAAACAGCAGTTGTAGGAGTGCTAATGGAATCTGATCTTGAAGAATGCCTGTTTATGTACTGTCTTTTAAAACCAGTATACATGTATGCAATGTAAATATTGTGATACTTGACTTAAAATTATAAATAGCTTTCACTTTCTTCTGTGTTTATACAGTGGGCAAGGGGTTTATTGCACTCTATTTTCAAGTTTAGAAAGTGATCAGAAATATTTTTTCACTACTCCTTTACAGAAATGTTCTGCTTAAAATTACTTTTTCCTAATAAATGTGTTCACAAGGTTTTTATTTTAAATGCGTGGTACATGCAACTTTACAAAGAGCTGATGGTACTGTATAGTATTTTAAATGACTGAAAAAGTTTGTGCTTTTCAGCTCATGAAGTGTAGAAAATGAATAAAGAATTCCGAACCGTGACCTTAAGGACAGAGTCTGAAGGACCAGAGCTCTCTGTGAAAGCTAACAGAGGAGTATTCATGGGTTCCAATGTTCTAATTCCTATGAAGCAGTAAAATAGTACTGCTGAAGGGAGCAACTCACTGGCTTACTGATTTATTTTTTTAATCACTGGATTGACGTCACCTGAAAAGTAAAGGAGGATACTGATCCTGAAGATCGAGAGATCCATCATCTCTGTACTTCAGGAAAGGGCCAGTTAATGCCAGCTGCAAGCTGACACTCAGCTATATGCTCTTTAACTGGCATGACCATTACTGCATTTTAGTCTGGCCTTCAGAATAACCCTCACAAGTTGGTTACCCCTCATTCTGCCATTATTATAATCAATAGAGTTGTTGGGTGAAGTTGGTCATAAAGAAAGTTTAGAGCAGTGGTCACACTTTGAGTTATCTAGGTGGTAACTTGGGTGTATCAAATCCCATATAACTGTGGCAAGGATTTGAGACAACTGCTGCAATAAAACAATATAATTACAGGCTGTGCACAAGGTTTCAGTCAAATACATGGAAATTTGCTGTGCTGAAATCATTTGAGCTAGTACTTCTGATTTCTTCCAGGAACTTGACTTCAAGTTCATTACTTCATATTTATTGTCAGTTCTGTACTCTGAAAAATTGGGGAAGTTTTCTGTATTGTCTACAACAACATTTTCGTTTATTTTTAAAGTAGAAGTTACAGGAATTTTCATTAGTATTTTGCCTGTTACTTTCTATTTGTCTTGAGCTGTTGTCTGGGTATTTCTTTACAAATAATTATTTTTTGTAATTGTTGCAACTGAGTAAATATGGAAAGAGCAGAACTATTTCAGGAGGAGGAAGTAAGACTATTAAAAAAGATACATAAATACATAATTGTGCAATCTCTGTAAGATGAAATTATTAGTTTTCAAGTAAACTTTCTGTTTGAATAGCTTAGTTAAAATAACCAATTGGAGATAAAGTATAAGGCTAGACTGTGTCCTGGTTCCGTGTAAAAAGGGGTTAGGGCAGGACCCACACGGAACAGAACTATGTACTCGCCTCTCCCTCCCTGAGAGAGAGAGAGAGAGACTTTGGAAAAAAAAATGAAGTATATTGTTTAACAAGGAACAGAAAACGAAAAAGGGAGGTAAGGAAAATAATATATACAAAGATTAGGGGAAAAATACAAAAAATAAAATATACAAAACCCTCAGAAATGGTTCCAGGGTCCCACGGAGTGAAAGGACAACCTCCCTCTCCGAGCTCCAGGGCAGGAGTGAAATTAGAAACCACTCCCTGCCTCTTATCAGAGTGTGTGTGGGAAGGGGAGGGAATACAATGGTTTCACACCCACCCGGGGTCCTCCCAGTTGCTGGAAGGTCATGACCCCATTCCAAGCCTCAAACCACAACAACTGTTACTATTAAATGTGTTAAAAACAGTCTTAGCAGTAATGCTATATAAAATGCTATAGAAACAGTCTATTCCTTGTTACACTTGGGTACCCTATTACTGATTTTGGGTGACCATTGAAGAAAAATTAAATAAATCATGGACAGCATCATACTGTGCTGTTATTTATGCACTGCTTAGAAGTATTACCATAGTGTGAATCCAAAGCAGAAAACAAAGCTCACATAGCCTGTTCCTCAAAGCAGGAAATAAAAAGAAAAGACAAAACCCAAACCCTCAGAAAAAAATGTGTGAATGGAGGCTCAGCCTGAATAAAAACATTGCAATTAACTGGTGAGCT